CTTCCGTGCGCAACCTTCAGAACCAACGAAAAACCGTTGGAAAGGCAATGTGCAAAGTATCAAAGGTCGACGACCTCAATTTGAGCTTAGAAGCGATACTACCTTATCGTATCCTATAAATAAGCCAAAGCGAAGATCTCCTATATATCACCATCGGCGGATCTATAAACAGGAACAAAATCGAAACTCTTTTCCTATATTTAACACTAAATATACAACGTCTCCAAATGAGACTATGTTTGATTATCCTACCGATGAGAATGAGACAAGGTGGAAAGGCAGAATAGGGTCCACCCGAACAGTTGAAACCCAAAATCCTATTATACAAATTTATATTAACAATATCCCAGTGAAGGTACGAGTCGATCCTAGAATGGATATTACACTCCTATCAAAGAATTTGCCAAACAGATTGAGAAAAAAGGCTTACGTTAAGTTTGGACAGAGACAAAAATTGGGACCCATCCTGGGGAAACCCGTTACCTCGATAGGCACAGCATACCCTCCGTGAAATTAAGGGGGAGAAAATTTCAAATGCGATGTGCTGTCGTGGGAGATGAGACTATGGCCCCATGTGACGGAATTGTAGAAAATGACTTTATTCATGAGGTGCACGTAACATTCGATTTTGCGAATAGACAGATGCTATTATCCGATGGTAAAGTTATCCATTTTTGCACACCCTTACGGCCGCGCCAAAGGAAGAGAGGGCAGAACCCCGTAAATAAATGGGAGAAATTTCAAGACTATTCAAACATCTGTTCTGATCGAAGTGAAATAAAAACCGGAGAGACCCGGACGAGGACACGGAAGAAAAGACCAAAATGGAGATTACGAGAGAGAAAAATCAAACGACTTAGAACCCAGCAAGATAGCACGGACTTTACCCTCGAATCACCTATCGAAACTTCGGAAGAAGAACCACCATTGATTAGCGATCCTTGGGATAAATCTATTTTGTCATCCATCCTTCCTCCATTACCGGAAGAACATATGGAAAGTAAAATGGAGAGTGATAAACTTAAAATAGAAAGCGAAGAATCGGAACCGGAAGGAAAACTAGAAATAACTCCTCCATATATAATCCGACGCCAAGGAGCAAGTCCAACTCCATCGATGTCTCGACCTACTCGTAATCACTTTTCACGATTTACTTCACCTACTTCTAGTCGATCATTCTCACCGTAGGCCTAGAAATTGAGTTGTAGCATATTAATAGGGCCTTAATTGTATGAAAAAATAGAGGTCATATAAAATATAGGAGAGGTGTTCCAATTAAATCCATTTCCTTATTTTTGGCATTAATAATGATATTACCCTGTTTCAGTGGGAAAGAACCTTAAATGGCGTAACGAAGGAATTCTTCATTTACTGCGCTCTCAAACAACTCTATTAAATAATACCCTAAATATAAGCAAACATAATAGACATCAGATATATATATTATTTAAACGACAAGAATATTTTGGAGAGGTCATGAATTTGTACCAATATAACCTAGTCTTTGATATAAGTTTACGAACAATCAAATTCTCAGTCCAAGAATTGCATTTCCAATTAGTAGAACTACGAGAAGCAATTGATATTTTAGAACAGGGTCGATTAAGCACCTACTTTATCTCACGGGAAATTATGTTACGAACTCTATGAGACATCCAACTCCAACTTCCGGAAGGCTACGCAATGATCGAACCCATCAAGCCAGATACATTGTTTAAATATTACCAATGGATAACTACCATTGCTGTAGCTTTACCTGGGAAACTACGAATTTTCGCCAAAATTCCCTAAATCACTCCTAGTGGATATTTTGATATGTACGAAATTGTCAAATTTCCAACATACATCCCTACATTAAAAACCTTTTTCCAATTTAAGCCAGAATATCCTATTATTGCTCTGTCTATGGATAGACAATCGTATATGTTGCTCCAACGATTCGAACTCACTATGTGCAAGATAGACCACTTTCCTATTTGTTCATTAAACGTTCCCATACAACGATTCCCTCAACGAAGTTGTGAGTATGCTCTGTTTAATGGAATCGAAACCCAAGTTAAAGACCTCTGTACTCGACAAATCGTCGCAAGATATGCTCCTATCTTTAAGAGAATAGATGAACAAGGAACCTGGATTTATTCCACATCTGAATCTCTCACCTTAACTATCCGATGTCCTACTAGACCTCAGAAATCACCTTATATATCTACAACCCACAAATTAAATTATACCGGGATGATTAATCTACCAAATGCATGTACAGGTTACCTACCAGGAATCATTCTCACCTCACACTTTCAAAGACAATCAACCTTACAACTTGAGATAGCACACAAACTTATTGTTCAAAGCTATTAAGGCCTCGCTTCACACTCGACAACCACCATTTTATTTTTTTTTAAATTTTTCCAGTTTTCCGGCGTTCGAATTTATAAACGGAACCTTTCTCATATTTTAAAAATTTTCCTAGATTTATATATATATATATATATATATCCTAAATTTAGAATTTTAAATCCGAGAGAGAGTAAAAATAAATATATATGTAACCTCCATATACCTCTAGAAGAAACTCCGTGACAATTTTACCATTATTATTAACTTTTATTAATGTTTTAATCAAAGAAAAGTGCTATTTTTACCTCTTAAAGCTGAAGACGTCCAACGCACGTGACTCAACCATTCTAACACTTCTAAGTGCCAATCAACCCATCGCACAAGAAGTTCTAACCTGATCGCCACTACAAAATAACAACAATTTACTTCCTTATAGTCCAGAATCAGCTTGAAAGTGTTATTTCGCCGACAAAACAACATCGTGCACACAAAAATCCAGCTGACGAAACCAAGAACTCCAAGAAAAAGGACCATCTCAATCCTAACGAACTTTGACCAGTACCTTCCTATCCAGGTCAACGGGAACTTCAACTGACCAATCAACCACTCCAGCTCGAAGACACCAGTCCTCTCACCCCTAGTAATAAATATTGTCGCGAATGACACGTGCCGGGATTTATTTGTATAATCAAAGTGTTACATTTCACCTCAGATTCTTTTATCGCTTTTATTTGTCAACACGACCTTTTAATGTAACCGAACGAATTTTTTTCGGTGCAAAAAAGAAGAGAGAGAGAAAAAAAAAGAGAGCAAAAGGTCATTTGAACCATTCTCTATGTAAACATACCTCTATCCAGACAAAACAATCCAAAGGTTTAAAATCACACTACTAAGTGAGATTTTAAAGAAAACAGGGAGTGAATGTGAAATCCGGAATTTTTGCCCACTATTTGTCGATTAATTGTCCCGTATTTGCTTAAAATCTAATTAAATTTTCCTTTAACTTAAAGTGAAACCTAACGAAAAAAAAACCCTTTTCGTTTATGTTCGACATAAACATCCGTTCAATTCGAAACTAATCCCACATTCCAACTGCTAAGTTAATAGTTAGCATGGTCCCGGGAACCACTCTGACCCATCTGTGTACCTTTTACCTCACAACAATTGGTCACATGACCATTCTCCCACGCCGAACTTATAAAAACCCCTTCCTTCCCCTTCTCGGAGGAGTCGTTCATCCGCCGTCACTTTTACAACTGTGTCCTACGAATATTGTGTCCTATTAATATACTGTGTCCTATCGATATTGTGTCCTGAAGAAAAATTATTATCCTTATCCTACCAACCCGTTGGATATCAAAACCTTTTTCCTTAGGAATATTCAAAACCATAAAGAGGTATGGAACAAATTTTTGTGAACTCTCTCTCGGTTCTTCCCGTTTCAGGGACTCAGATTTTTCCCTTTGAAATTAGTTATTGTATCTATGTAGTTAATAAATCGTTGTTATCCTGTTAAATTGGTGTCCTCGTTTGCTCGTATATCGCCTGTCGTCTTACCGACGCACTCCTCCCTCCGCCACTCGACCCGAAACATTAAAGCCCGTTACAGCAGGAAAAAGAATCCTTCCATCCATCCTGACAGTGAAAGGGTTTAACAACCTGTTGCCGGATCGGGAGGCCTACACCCTCCCCGGCGGTTCACACTTGCTTGCCCACCCCTGTACTATGGTAATGTAATGATGAATGCATTGTCATGGAAATATTAAGAAACTTGACAAAGATACACAGAAAGTCAGGTCAAATTTCTTAATGCTTTCTAATGTTTTCCATGATGAAGTATTCATTTTTACATTATCAAAGTTACAGCTTATTATATGTAATTCTTGAAGATAAGTATTAGCCTAAACAGATTTGAAATTTTGTTTATATACTTTATACACTTTCCTAAATAAAAATCTTTTGGAAATAATAATTTTAAATTACTATAGTTTTGAAAGCTAATATTTTCTCTTAAATTTCTTGAATACACTTCTTTAAAAATAATATAAAAAAAAAACTAATAAAATTGTTCAGCTGAATATACAGCATGTTCTATCTTTGATGTACATAATTGGTCCTATTTTGAAATTTATTTTACATAATCTCTAGATTTTCCACTAATCTAATTTTATTCTATCTGAATAAGCAAAAAATATAATATTATGATAAGGAGAGATCATCACTTTTTATTATCTAGAACTGTCACAACTGCTATAAAAAAGAATAAAATGCATTGTATGTGAATGAAGCAAAGGTTACAAATTTTTTAATGTTAAGCTTACTGCTTGTTTAAAAACAGAATAATCTCATATCTGAATTATCTTTGTAGTTCTTACTGATGCAAGATACAGTAGAAAAAAAAAATCTTAGTGAACAATTTTGTGAAAATGGGAACATTGATTTTTGTAACTGGATAACTCAGATTAAAGCACCAACAATTTATTAAAACTAAAAAACTAAAGCTTTTCTTCTGGAAAATTTAATGTTTTAAATGAAAATTAAAATATCAATAAATTTTTAAAATATGTTATGACTTATTTCAAATATTATTCTATAAAGAATATTAAATACTAATATAATTGAAAAATTTATGTAAACAAGAACATAATAATCACAAAACTCACATGATTTACTTCCAAATTCTGGTGCAATACAATGAACATTCATAAGATTATCACGACAAGTTTTTACATGACGATGAATTGCATCTGGAGCAACTAAAATATGATTTGAAAGATATAATAGCTATTTTATCAATTAAATATATTAAAAACTATATATATAGG